ATGAAGCAGCAGCAGCGCGGCAGCAGATGCAGTATGAAGCAGCAGCGGCAGCAGTAGCAGCAGTAACGGTAGCAGCATGAAGCAGCAGCAGCAGCATTAGCAGGAGCAGCAGTAACGGTAGCAGCATGAAGCAGCAGCAGCAGCAGCGGTTGCAGCATGCGTAGATAATAACAGCAATAATCCTGTATCAAAGCCACAGCAGTAGAATATTGTTGAAGCTGTTTAGTGTTTCAGTAAAAGAGATGCGCAGTGAAGAGAGGTGTCAAAGTAAAGAAGCAGCAGCAGCACGGCAGCGGTAGCAGTATGAAGCAGCAGCAATAGCAGCAGTAGCGGCAGCAGAAGCAGCAAGCAGCAGCAGCACAATGCGATTCATACGAACAACAGACGTGTCACGCCAGCGTGCGCCGCTTGTCTCCGTGAGCCAGGTTACGTACGTGTCTGAAGAGCCGAGCCGTAGAGACAGGTGCAGCCTGGGAGCCTGCGGAGCGGCAGCGGCAGGAACAGCAGCAGCGGCACATGTAGTAGTAGGAGCAGCAGGAGCAGGCAGCAGGAACAGGCAGCAGCAGGAATAGGCAGCAGCGGGATCAGGCATCAGTAGGAACGGCAGCAGGGACCGCAGCAGCGGCGGTCAGAGAACCATGCCCACGGTTGTTTAAGAGCCTGAGGAAATAAATCAACCCGAATCCGAAACATTCCCATGCGAGAAACAGATGTCCCCTGGAGCCATCTTGCTGCTTTGGTTATGATAGAACGCATGAACCATCACTGATCCATGCGTTCATTAGCTCCAGCTCCACTTCAAACCCATTGCAGATTCACATTGGGCCCCTTTTCTTTCTGCTGCACTTTCGAAAGTGCAACAACTGCAGTTTAGTTACCCAGTTTAATACTAGTGACCTAGCAATTTAAATGCATGGCCCCTCCTTCCTCCTGCAGATAGACGAATTTAAATACATCATTTAACAATAGTGACTTGCGAGTAATGAGATTGATGCTGTAAAGATGGCGCCGTGCAAGAGCTCTGTGTGTGCCGTCTGGAGCACGATGGGGTAGTCTTTGCACATTTTTTCCAACGTGGTTTTACTGCAAGTGGCAGAACATGAATCTGAATTAATGCACATTGCTCCTCTTATATCCCTCAGACAATGGAGATTGATGCCATTTTAAGATGCATTGTCCCTCAGTTAGCTCAACACGTGTAAAACGGAGCCTGCAGACCAAGCACGGGCGAAGACTGACGCCTGCAGTCAAGTGCGTAGGGCAAAAACCAGCTGCCTGCAGCCTAGACTCCGGGATTAAACTGTCCGCGGTCGGCACACTCACTGTACTCACATGCCAGGAGACTTGGGAAAGCAACGGGACAACGCGGCACCGCCAGTCGGAGGCAGGGACACGCACGGCACCAGCAGACCACGAGGAACGAGCAGCACAGAAACCGCGGAGGGCCCCGCGGAGCAGCCCGCAGAAGAGCCCGCAGAGGAGGAGAGCAGTGAGGATATGCGAACCACAGCAGGTGCAGGGACGTGGAGGAGGAGCAGACCACGAGCAGCCAGACGGAGGACAGCCGGGCCACGCGCACGAGCAACACGTGAGCAGAAGCGACCCCTCCAGATCCAGAACAACGCATGCATTTGCGAACAGGTGCGTTTAGCGACATGCACCTTGCAGGCTTCAGAAGTTTGCAGACTTCAGAAGACCGGGAAATGGGCGTCTCCGGCTTTTAACTTGCTGTCCTGGTGGTTATTGGTTGACTGTGTGTGGGCGTTGCTGGTATTGATGAGTCGAGGAAGAGCAGCCTGTGGCCTGGCAGCGCAGCCGGGTCTACCACGGTGAACTTTCGCGAAAGCTCCATTTCACAACTTGTGTTTTTCTCCGCACGGTGCTGACTCGGAGTGCGTCTGAAGATCCAAGTGTGCCCACTGTAGTTAGAAGATATGCCATGTCACTGTCTGAATCGGCTTCACATTAAAGGCGCTATACCCGTTTTTGCAATGTTTGAATGTTTAGCACCGCCCCCCAACTCGCTCAATGGCTTCTCATTTCCCCTACGCTCTCATAACACAGAGCCACCTAGTTTTATTTGCGATCTGATACATATGCTAACATTAGCATTAGCGCAACTTCTTGTAAGCTGTACAACAATCACTGATGAAATGGCACTAAAGCAACGCACTGCTAACACAATATATAAGTAAAAGAATACCGCTAGTTTCGCGTCCGAATGTATTAATTTAAAACCTTAGAATATATTCTAATATTTAATTATAATTTGTTATAGAGCTCCTCAAAGCAGCAGCAGCAATTCTTCCGATCATTTTTTCTTGATAACAGAACTCTCAAACCAATAATGACCGAAGCCCAATGCAACCTCTGTTTGTAATTCAGGTGTGTAAAATACTGCCGTTACTCTGCAAGTACAACAAGCTATCAGCGCCTGTCACTACACACACACTACACACTACACTGTAGAGAAGCCAACGGAGCTAGCCACGCTCAATAAACAACTACATATCTATCAATCAACACCATTAAACGTCAATCGGACAATACAGTACACATATACATCCTTAACACACATGCACGGATGATTTCAGAATTTGCTGTTAACGTTTTCATGATAAAAATACTGTTTCAATGTGACAAAAAGCGATTGCGAAAAACCCGGAAGTTACCATGAAACAACTAGCTAGCTTAGCTGTTACCTGCCTAGCACGTCCCGGTGAAACCTTTGGGAGCTAACTATTTTATTTGCAGTCATTAAATACATTTCGAATTAAAAGGGTTGTCTAATATTTGTTCACATTTTTTTATTCAATTATTTTGTTCATCATTTTTTATTTTAGAATTATATTCGAATGTTGAAGTGGAAGCCCTGGTGTTAAGCAGCGCTGTAGAGGCTAGAGGACGCAGGCTGCTCGCTGCTCGTTCTGTGAGCGGAGGAGAAAGAGCGCTCAGACTCTACTCAGCACTTTTCACTGCTTGTAATTCTTACACAGCTGAATCAATTACCTCAAGTTTTCAATTAAATGATGTATTATGATACAACTTGTATGTAGTAAAAAGCATTTTTATGAACTACTTAGAAAAAAAATCGGGTATAGCTTCTTTAACTGTGACTGGTGACCGACCAAGAGCAGCCCGTTTTTAACAGAGACTCGTCTCTGATTGGCCGAGAGCGGACCAGGGCCCGCCTTCCCAGGGGTCAAGAACTGCATAGCATATTGAATTAAGTTGCACTCAAACCATGTGGCAATGCAATATGCAATATGCAATATGCAATGCAATCCAGAGGGAGGTGCTGTTTCACAACACATTAAATGAAACTTAACATACTCAAATGTGGAATACAAGTCAAAATAGGATATAACATGTAATTTTGCCAAATACAACTCTAAACTAAATGCCATGTTAAGAATGAATAGAACAATGAATAAAGAGGCCAAATTTCCATGTCAATATGCTATTCATTTCAAAATCTTGTAATTTGCAATATATAAAGACATTGTATCGACACTTTACATATTGAATTGCCATTAGAACTTTTGGAATAGAACATTAAATGTCAAAATTGGATATAGCATTACACTTTGACAAATACAAATACAAAATAAATACTAAAATAACATAATGCATAGCCATTTGACAAATGAATAGACAAATGAATTAAGGTGCCAATAGTCTTCCATACTGTATGTTGGGTCATGCAAAATGTATTAAAACATGAAAAAGAAGAAAAAAAAAGTAAAAAACCCAAACCAACACAATCAGTGAAATGATATATTCTGCTGCTAAAGGAAAAGGCAAAATATGAAAGAAAAAAATAGGTTTGTTTTGAAAAAGAATACTTCTCTTTAGGTTCTGGGTTCGATTCCTGGATCTCTGGTTTTGACAACCACTAATACAAGTGCAATAGGTATGAATGTAATGAGTGAATGGGAGATGTTGGTGAGAGTCAAATGAAGCTGAAGTGGAAATTCCAGACTAAAAAAATACAGGAAGAACGAAGCTCACGGCGCTCAAAGTCCTCCCACTGTTGCTTCACACTCAGCTGCAGCGCCACAAGCAAATCCTCACCTTTAACAATCAGCCTCTGCCCCGCATCAAGCTTCATATCTTAAGGAAGCTCCATCCAATTAGCTGCTTCAGTCTTGCCGCAACCCTCCTCCTCCCCGTCTCAGTCTCGTTCCGGGTCGGCTCTTTCATCCTTCTCCTAGCTCCTAGGCCCGGGGGATTTAATCTCATAATCTCTTTCCCCTTCTGCCTCATCACAGTGCTCTGACGGGGTCTAAGGCCAAATCCTAAACACATTTCTGTAAGAATCTTGAAAATATTGTCCTCAGAGTCATATGTGTAATTCATGTAGTGTCAGATTACTACAACCAATATACAATTCTAATAATACCATCCTGTGTCTGTTGGAGATTGAAATGTAGAGTGCTTTGTGTGAGCTCTTTTTCCACCATTTCTCGTATTAAACCTTGATACATATGAGCACAAATCAATAATATAATCTGTATATAACAGCACAAACTGTTTACATGTTTATTTACACTTTTTGACATGTGCAAACTGGACTTCCGGACGAATCCAGTTTCCGGGACGAACCCGGCAGCCACAAGCATGTTAGCATGTTAGCATGTTAGCATGTGAAAGATGCGCTGGGAAACGGCTGCACGTTCTAACTAGCTCTGAAACAGTTGTTTTGTGCTTTACAATTCTTATTTTTATTCCTTTTGGCATGACATGACTTCTCTGTGACCCTGCAGTCGCAATGGACACGTTGCCACGGAGACGTCATCATGGAGACGTCGTCATGGAGACGTCGTCATGGCGACAACTCAACGCACCTCAAATTCCGGAATTAATCAGATACTTACATGTATGGACGGACGCAACGGGCCGTCAACATCGAGGAAATAAGACTCCACAGAGGAGAAAGGCGAAAGGAGTCCACAGAGGAGAAAAGAGTCCACACACAGAGGTAAGACAGCAGATGAATAATGACTAACCGCAGGGTGTGGCAGCTGCTGAAGCAGTGGCTGGATTATGAACAGGAGCTGCTGGACTCAGAGAGGATCTGGGAGGACAAACAGGAAAAGTGGATCTCAGGATATCAGGATCCGGAAGATGTGGCTGATCTCTGGAGAGAAGATGAGGAGAAGTGGTTGGAGGAAAAGCAATCCTCTAGAAAGATACTAGAGGAGATCCTTGGATCATCTGAGAAGCTAAAAGAAGGATCCCCAGAGTTCCTCCTGGAGCTGAATCATCAGATCTGTGAGAGGAGACTGCAGATGGAGCGCAGACGCTCTATATGGCTGAAGAAAGAGGCCTGGTACCAGGGGAGAGAGGCCTCCAAGACCACTGTCATCACCCTGAGGAAGGAACTCAGAGATCTACGAGGCAGGTGTGAGAAATACAAACAAAGATTGCCGAGAGACCTGATGGAGTCTGATGCTGAGGTCCTTGAGTCTGCAGCTGAGGTCCCTGAGTCTGCAGCTGAGGTCCCTGAGTCTGCAGCTGAGGTCCCTAAGTCTGCAGCTGAGGCCCCTGAGTCTGCAGCTGAGGTCCCTAAGTCTGATGTCCAGCACCTGCAGCAGCAGCTGCTGCTGAAGGAGCAGATGTTGGTTTCTCTGAGAGCTAAGATGGAGAAGCAGGTGGAGCTGCAGCAGAGCACGCAGGCTCTGGTGCAGGCGGCGAAGCAGGTGGTGGAGGTTAGTGAAAAGGAATCCTTCAAAAGGCAAAAACTGCTGCAACTTGCCAATGAACAATGTCAGCAGTATTTTGAGAATCACCCTAATCATTCAGACTCCGAAGAGGACGTTCTGGTCTATAGTTTAACCACTGGAGAGATGTGTACTATCGACGAGAGCAGAATGGAGAAACTCAGGTCTATCTTTTTAAAGCTGAGGGAAAAGCATGGGGCACCAGGCTCTGAAGACGAAGGCTCTGAGGAGCCCATGACCCCAGAGATGGTTGACGGCCTGAGGACCTCCTTATACCAAAGAATAAGGAAAACGAACAAGCACCTCCAGAAATATTGCACATGGGTTTCCACTTTTTGTATAGAGACCGACAAGCTGTGTAAGATCCAGGACCGCTGTATCAAAGGCTTCATAAACTGCTTCTTTGAGTGGAGAGAGTTGAGGAGAACAAAGCAGACATGGAGCCCTCCTCTGAACAATGGGGTTAGAGTACCTCCAGAGAACAGGTTCAGGAGGTTAGTTCACAAAGCTTTCATGCCACACACTTACACATACAGGCCATCACTTGAAGAGAACGATGGTTCGATGATTAAGGTGGAGGACGCTGAAATCCTTAACCCCGCCTACTTCCAATGGAACCAATTCTTATTGGACAATCCCTCCGAACAGGTGGAGTATTTAGATTGGGTTTATTAAAGATACAGAGCAGAAGCATAAACGCTAGAGTTTAGAGCAGCTTTGAGAGGTCAGAGGGGCGGGGCCTGAGGTCATAGGGGCGGGGCCTAGGGTCAGAGGGCGGGGCCTGGGGTCCGAGGGGTGGGGCCTGAGGTCAGAGGGGCAGGGCCTGGGGTCAGAGGGGTGGGGCCTGGGGTCAGAGGGGCGGGCCTGGGGTCAGAGGTCATGTCCAGATGCATTAACTTTATATAAAGTTTATGAATTTGTTTTTCCAACATTGATCCAGGAGGTCAAAGGGGCGGAGCCTGGGGTCAGAGGGGCGGGGCCTGAGGTCATGTCCAGATGCATAAACTTTATATAAAGTTTATGAATTTGTTTTTCCAACATTGATCAGGAGGTCAGAGGTCAGTGATAGGTCTGGGCTATCTCTAAGGTCTCTCTTTCTACTCTCTCTCTCTGGTCTCTATCTCTGGTCTCTCTCTGGTCTCTATCTCTGGTCTCTATCTCTGGTCTCTCTCTGGTCTCTCTCTGGTCTCTCTCTGGTCTCTTAGGGCAGATGCATGGATGTTATAATCTGTGATTCTGTTTTTTCTCGTCTTTCCTGGTCTCTCTCTCTCTGGTCTCTCTCTGGTCCCTCTCTCGGGTCTCTCTTTCTACTCTCTCTCCCTGGTCTCTCTTTCTACTCCACACTTTCTACTGACAGCTCCTGAAGGACGGGTCCAGACCACACATGAAATATTATCAATAAAACAGCCTTTAACTCAATAGAATATGACTCGTATATCTCTCTCTCTGGTCTCTCTTCGCTGATCCCTCTCTGGTCTCTCTCTACTCTCACTCTGCTCTCTCTCTGCTCTCTCTCTGCTCTCTCTCTGGTCTCTCTCTGGTCCCTCTCTCTGGTTTCTCTCTCTCTCTGGTCTCTCTCTGGTCTCTCTCTGGTCTCTCTCTCTGGTCTCTCTCTGGTCTCTCTCTGGTCCCGCTCTCTGGTTTCTCTCTCTCTCTGGTCTCTCTCTCTGGTCTCTCTCTGGTCACTCTCTGGTCTCTCTCTACTCTCTCTCTGCTCTCTCTCTGGTCTCTGACCGAGCCCACCTCATGGAAGTGTATCGAATCCGTGTATCATTCGTTCTTTTGATTTTCTAAATAAAACCAACATTGAAAAAACGAATAACGAGGGAAATCCGTGTACCCTTCGATCATTAGTTATTCCGTTTCAAAACAAAATCAGAAAAACAAATTACGTGGTTGTTTTATTGTATTTCCATTACCTAAATTAAATTGGAAAATCAAAACATTCTAAATGAAATATTCACCCATTTCTTTGCTATGCAGTGGAAACAAACACTACTAAAACAACTTCCATTATTTTGTTTGATTTGCTACCGGAAATGATGAGTGGTGAGAGACGGAAACAACTGCAAGCTGCACTCAACTCAACTCAACTACACGACAACAACTCGCGCTGTTGTTGAGCTCGCCCCCAGGCCCGAGCTCCAGGGGCAAAATGCTTACAGCACCTGGTATTCCCAGGCGGTCTCCCATCCAAGTACTATGGGGACAACTTTGTGCGCGCTGCTCTAAAACAGAGAGAGCCGGTGAACGAGTTCTACTTACTCATCGATCAAAATGCTTGAAAGTAGGCGTGGCTTAGACATTTTTCACAATAAAAGCCCACTGCCTCTGCGGGACCTCTAAAGTCCGAAATAAAGACTCCTTTCTCGTATTGTTTCTGACGAAGGATTGCTATCACATATAATCAACGTAAATCAGATGTGTTGTTGCTGTTCCAAATACTGTCTGTGAATCGCGAACTGTTTCCCATGACACTGACCTGAGCAGCTGCAAGGTGCGCAGTTTAACCTGGAGCTGCGGTGGGACTGTGGTGTTTCCATTCAATAAACACGCTCACAACAGCGATTTACAAACACATGACCAGCGCCTGCTCTCACACATTGTTCTCATATACTACAGTCATAAGAAATATTGATGTAGAAAAATAAATCACATGTGGAATTAATGCTGTATGTGATCGCTATCACAGACCAGGAAAAGGACGTTCGGGTTGTATGAGTGAGCAATAATGTGACTAATAATGAGCATGCAACTGTGACAGGACGAACATGTGTGTAAAGCATGACAGCAGCAAGAGGGTGTCACTGAAAGATGACAGCAGACGGCCAAACACATGTTGTATTTGTAGAGTGGGCTAGATCCACCTGCGTGTCCGCGTACTCGCACCCCGCTTCACCTGTCTCCAAAGCATTGTAACGCAATGTCACTGGCAATAGAATGGCACACCCTGTTCCTGTTACCTGTGTCGTGTAGCCACAGACACACACACATAGATCGTACGCTCGGACGCGGTTTGGTACGTGGTGCAGCGACAGATTAACCTGCTGACGCATCTCCAGATCCTCTTTCAGAGACGTCTCTGCAGGATTTCTCTGTCACTGCGCTGCGGACATGTGTTTTACGCGTTGCTCGGTCACAATTCCATGTCACAATTGTTCCCTTGTGTGCAGTATGACTGGACCAACATAAACATTTGTAATGAGCACAGCACAACACTGACATGAGCAGCTGCAAGGTTTGCAGGTGTACCACGTCCACCCCAAATATACATCATTTTGGCCATCTGCTACTGTCAGCGAAATGTCCAGCAATCAATATTAATTTGTATGCATATTCATCATCATTCATGGGCATTGGTCTTTCTCTATGAACCAATACACATGGGTTCAATATTTCCTGCGTCTTCGCGGTTGATTCTCCAATCTGTGTTGGTGATTTCAACGTGTGTCAAAAAGATTCGTAAGTGTAATGTGGTTGTTCTAGCAGTTTAGTTTAGAGCAGCTTTGAGAGGTCAGAGGGGCGGAGCCTGAGGTCAGAGGGCGGGGCCTGGGGTCAGAGGGGCGGGGCCTGAGGTCATGTACAGATGCATTAACTTTATATAAAGTTTATGAATTTGTTTTTCCAACATTGATCCAGGAGGTCAAAGGGGCGGAACCTGGGGTCAGAGGGGCGGTTCTGAGGGCAGAGGTCATGTCCAGATGCATAAACTTTATATAAAGTTTATGAATTTGTTTTTCCAACATTAATCAAGGAGGTCAAAGGGGCGGGGCCTGGGGTCAGAGGGGCGGGCCTGAGGTCAGAGGTCATGTCCAGATGCATAAACTTTATATAAAGGTTATGAATTTGTTTTACCAACATTGATCAGGAGGTCAGAGGTCAGTGATAGGTCTGGGCTATCTCTGAGGTCTCTCTTTCTACTCTCTCTCTCTGGTCTCTCTCTGGTCTATCTCTGGTCTCTCTCTGGTCTATCTCTGGTCTCTCTGGTCTCTTTCTGGTCTCTTAGGGCAGATGCATGGATGTTATAATCTGTGATTCTGTCTCAGGGACTGAGTTTTTTCTCGTCTTTCCTGGTCTCTCTCTCTACTCCCTCTCCCTGGTCTCTCTCTCTGGTCTCTCTCTCTGGTCTCTTTCTAGTCCCTCTCTCGGGTCTCTCTTTCTACTCTCTTTCCCTGGTCTCTCTTTCTACTCCACACTTTCTACTGACAGCTCCTGAAGGACGGGTCCAGACCAGACATGAAATATTATCAATAAAACAGCCTTTAACTCAATAGAATATGACTTGTATGTCTCTCTCTCTGCTCTCTCTCTCTGGTCTCTCTTCTCTGGTCTTTCTCTCTGGTCCCTCTCTGGTCTCTCTCTGGTGTCTCTCTGGTCTCTTTCTGGTCTCTCTCTCTGCTCTCTCTGGTCTCTCTCTCTGGTCTCTCTCTCTGCTCTCTCTCTGGTCTCTGACCGAGCCCACCTCATGGAAGTGTATCGTCAGGTTAGACACACACAGTAAAAAGTGCATTTTAAAAACAGTTAAAATCCAAAGTGAAAAGCTTCATGGACAGAGGAGAGTGTGGTTATGATGTTCGTGAGTGGCTCAGGCCTAAACAGATGAGTTTTAAGGTGGATTTGAAGAATGTGAGTGAGTCGGTGTTACGGAGGTCAGGGGAGAGTGCTCCAGAGCTGGGGAGCAGAACGGCAGAAGGTTCTAGTCCCCATGGTGACGAGGAGGGACCAGGAGGGACCAGGAGGAGAGAGGAGGAGGAGCGGAGGGAGCGGGCAGGTGTGGAGATCTGGAGGAGGTCAGTCAGGTTTGGAGGAGCGAGGTTGGGGAGGGCTTTGTATGTGACGAACAGGATTTTGGATTGGATGCGGTGAGTGATGGGGAGGCAGAGGAGCTGGGAAACTCCAGGTGCTCTGGTTTCCTCCTGGTGCTCCGGTTTCCCCTGGGTGCTCTGGTTTCCTCCAGCTGCTCCGGGTTTCCCCAACCACTAAAACATCCAGTAGACATTGACTATATTCAAAGCATGATTTATCTATAAAAAATCTATATTAGCATTTAACTAAAACATAGAAAGATACAAAATCCAATCATTTATTTCTCACAAAAAGGATCCAAATCTGGTTTTTATTGTTCTGTTCCAAAAAGAAGCTAAATTGGAAGAGAATTTGGACGATGTGGATGTTTTTCCACACGGGTAGCATTCCTCCCAAATTGGACAAAATAATGTTCATAGGAGGGCGAAGGGTGCAGTGTGGGTATTGGGACTGGGCCAGACACACTCACCTTGTAGCGTTCTCCTCTAAATGGTCCCAGTCTAGTTCCTCTTTCAGTAGATGGTTCCCACTGCGGGGGTTCCCATGAGGTGAGAATGAACCAAAGCGTAGTCATGGGAGGGGTGGCCTGAACGTCAAGCAGGAGCCAAAAGACTGGCTGCTTTTTGTCTAAAAGGAGTTGATTAGCCCCAACATGTCAGGTTTATGCCTCAGTCTGGGTTAAAGCAGGTTCAGAGAAACACTGTTTTCAGATCTGACACATTCTGTAAAATACTAATGCTAATCCCCAGCCTTAGCCTCTTTCTACACAATGTTCTTTGTCAGTGTTGTCTCCAAATCCTCTCCAGTGATATCTGTCACATCCAGAATCATATTTACACGCTCAGATGATTCCTGAAGCTCAGATGTTAATAATGAAAGCAATAAACGTCAGAAGAACATTTGATCCACACACAGTAGTTTCCTGTTGTACTGTTATTATTCTCTCATTGATAGAGAGAGGAAGTTTTCCTCCCACTATCAATGTCCACACTTTGATCCAGGACATGTTCCTTTAGCTGTTTACATTTATAATTATACTTTTATTACACTGCAGAGAATATGAAGAAGTTTGCTCTCTCTAAATACATTCAATGGACAATTTCAGCCAAAGACACTTTCAAATGTGCCACTCACTCGTAGTGACTTTAGTCATGCACCAAAGCAGCCAGCAGGGGGCGCCATACTCCTCCATAAATGTGAAGCTGAGGCATTAGAATCCTGTGTGTGATGAGTGCTTTACAGTTTGTTCCTGTTGCTTGAACACATTTGTCCAAATGTCGCTCATAGTCCTAAAACTCTGCACACAAGAGAAGCTGACACACACTGGGACATAAACCATTCACATCTGTCTCAAAATGAAACTGCTTTATCAAAACTCAAACTCTGCTCTCAAAACTGAACAATCATTTTGTCAAAATGAAACTCTGAGGACAAAATGACACACACTTGCATCATGTGAACACACTTTCAGATTGGAAGCAACACAAACAGTACTTTATATAAAAACTGCAGTCACTGCCGTCCTTTTCACTGGTTTTATTCTGTTTATCATTTAGTCTTTTTGTGACGCTCAATGCAACTTACAATTAGCCAGGCTCTGCCAGACCCATGTAGTTCCTCCATGCTCCACCAGAGGTGTTTGGCTGAACCACATTGGTCTGGTATCGAGCATATACCAAACTCCTTCTGCAGATCAGAAAATAATCGACCAATCAGGATCGCCGGTGTAACGTCGGGTTTGCACTGCCTTCTCGTGCGTGTCTGACAAGTTTAAATACGAACAAATTAAGACACAGATGTCACTTTTAACGCAATATGAGGCGAGATGTTGATGGTTCTATGTTGATGTAAGTGTGTTTTAAGAGTCAAATGTTCCTGTAAAGTTTGGTTTAAGCACCGGTTCAGTGTTCCTGTTACAACACTATGCAGCGGGGTTGCCAGGTTGGGTGGTTTCCCGCATACTTTTTCCAAGAGACTTGTAGGTAATAAATAAACAGAAAGACAATAAACAGAATCATGATAGCCCAAGTTGATTACATAACGTTTTTAGCCCAAAAATAATTCTGAGTGTTTATTATTTTTGGGCATTCTCGCGGATTTTGGGCTGGATAATGTTGCAGGCATTTGGCAACCTATGGGAGTCGTGTGCTTTGATGTGAGTGGTTGAAAGCAGACGTCATTCAAGAAAACGGACAAGTGGTTTATCCAATCACATACAAGGATTTTTTCTACAAGGCCCTGCCTTCTGAAATCCAACTCTTATCAAAGAGTCCCGGACCAATGTGGCTCAAACACCTCTGGTGGAGCACGGCGGAACTACATGGGTCTGGCAGAGCCAGGCTAACTTACAATACAGTACAGTACTGTAAATACTGTAGATATAGTCTAAGAGTCTGAATCTAGTCTGACGTCTCTCTCGTGCAGTGACGTCTCTCTCGAGCTGTGACGTCTCTCTCGTGCAGTGACGTCTCTCTCGAGCTGTGACGTCTCTCTCGTGCAGTGACGTCTCTCTCGTGCTGTCTCTACTCTACTCGACTCTACTCTACTCTGCTCTACCCAAATAGTACCAGCTCAGCCCTGGTTCTATCCAGGCCAAACTAAAGTGTTCTAACTGACAGTGATTGGCCCGAAAGGTGATGGAAGTCAAGGTTACCAAGGTTACCATTCCCCGAATACTGGTTTGATGTGGTTGGTTGCTAGGATACGGTACCAGATACTAGAGTGGGATGGAAACTGTTGTGTTTTCCATCAATAGACGCGAGCAGCCAGCTTTCCAGTTGAGGAAACAATCAATTTATTAAAACAAAACAGGTGCAATTTATAGAGCTACTCGACGTCAGTAGGGGTCCTCACAGGACCCACATTGCCTGCTAATAAATGAACCATAATAAATGAGGCTGCATTTCACATCACGCTCAACACCCCCACTAAGGCTCATTTTTACAGAATACAAAACAGAGATAAACAAAGAAAATACAATACTACATTATTGTCCAAACAAATAATATTTGAAAGTGTTAAACTTTACCTTTGTTAAGGGTTTGGTCAGCACATCTGCCACCATTTGCTCCGGTGCACAGTACTCTATTATAATTTTTCCATCAGCGTGTGCAGACCGTACAAAATGATAGCGAACATCCACATGCTTACTACGTTGTCTACACACTGGGTTCTTGGAGAGAGCAATTGTACCCTGGTTGTCCTCAAAGATCTTTACTGGAGTGTGCTGTCTTTCCTTGTCCATCCCACCCAGAAGTTGTATGAGGTACATGCTCTCTTGCACAGTAGCTGCAAGGGCTATGTACTCAGCCTCACATGTCGACAGAGCTACAGTCGGCTGTCTCCTGCTTTTCCAGGAAATTACTGGACCTTCTGTGGTCAGGCTGAAACAGTAACCACTAGTACTCTTCCTATCAGTCGGGTCTGACGCCCAGTCAGCATCGCTATAACCTTCGAGTCTAAGGCCTGGGTCTTTTCGTCTGTAACACAGTTCCTGGTCTATAGTGCCTTTGAGGTAACGTAATACCTGTTTGGCCATTTCCCAGTGCTGTTGTGTTGGCCGTTTTAGGTGCTGGGACAATTTACTGACCGCCCAGCTTACGTCGGGCCTTGTAGAGGTCATAATGTAAATTAAACTCCCAACCATTTCTCTGTAGCCTGTGGAATCAGCCATTTCAACTCCATCATCAAAATCAAACTTTTGCTCACAAGGTGTTAGTCTTGGTTTACACTCAAGCATCCCAAACCTCTGGAGCACTTTTCCAATATGTCTAGTCTGACTCATTCTAACTTCACCTTTACACTGTGTGAAGTCAATACCTAAGAAATGTCCGAGTCCCCCTAGATCTTTCATCTTAAACTTATTTTCTAACATTTCTTTTACTTCACAGATTAGCCTTTCGTTATTGGCTGCAATTAACAAGTCATCTACCCAAATTATCAAAATGACCCTTTCAGCCCCAGACTGTCGAACATAAACACAATTGTCCGCCGCATTTTGTTCAAAACCATTAACCACTCGGTGATCATTTAACACCCTGTTTCCAGTTGCGTCCAGATTGTTTTAGACCATACAAGGATTTATTTAGTTTACAGACCAAGCGTTCACCAGTCCCAGACTCTATCGCAAACCCCTCTGGCTGCTCCATGTACACCTCACAGTCCATTGGGGCATGAAGATATGCCGTTTTCACGTCCATTTGATGAAGTACAAGGTCGTCTTGGGCTGCTATCTGCATCAATATCCTCACAGATGTCATACTGGCCGTTGGGGAAAAGGTCTCTTTGTAGTCAATCCCCTTTACTTGGCTGTAGCCTTTTGCCACGTATCTTGCTTTGAAAACCTCAGGCTGACCAGGTCTTTCTTTGACTACAAAGACCCAGCGGCCCCCTACTGCCCTTTTTCCCCTTGGGAGCTTACATAGAGAGAATGTTTCATTCTCTCTTAAAGAGTGCATTTCTTCTTCCATTGCTTTAGTCCACTCATGGGACCTCTCAGCTCTCACAGCCTCTGTGTAGGTTTTGGGTACACCAAACACCGCTCTATAAAAGTGATCAATGTCTTGTTCTTCCACAACGTCCTCCGTCTTACATTGGTAATCCCTGAGATATGATGGGGGTTGTCTATCTCTGCTTGGATAGCGACGTGCCCCCTCACTATCTCCTTTGATACCAGACTTTGCACCGCTTTCATCCCCCGCAACAGGGGTCTGGCGAGTGGGTGATGTACCTCCACCTGCTGCACCCGTGGGTTTGATCTGGTGGCTCTGGGGATGTACACCGATCCTTGGTGGTGCTGTATACAGTCCAACATCCTCTTCGTCACTATATATCTGACTGTCCAGTGTCAGTAGGGGCTTCACTAGTCTATGCCGGGAAACTCTTCCGGTCTCTGGAAAATAGATGTTGTATGCAGGACTGTACCTATCATACCCAACGAAAATGCCCCTTTCACCTCTAGGACTCAATTTCTTTTGATTATGCTTGTAAGCATAGCACTCTGCACCAAATATCAGCATATGGGAAATATTTGGAGTTTTCCCTGTGAAAACATTATATGGAGTTTTGCCTAGTCGCCTACTATAGCACCTGTTACGTATATGTGCAGCTGTCTGCACTGCATATCTCCATAGAGTTTTTGGTAATTTACTTTCAAGTAACATGCACCGGCTCATATCCAGTAACGTCCTCCACTTTCGTTCTGCTGTACCGTTTTGATGAGGTGAATAAGGGGCACTAGTCTGATGGCTGATCCTATTTTTCATGAGAACATCCTGGAACTCTTTACCAGTGTACTCCGTCCCATTGTCCGATCTAATAGTCTTCACATTGCCATAAGGAGCTGTGTCAGCTAAGAATTTTTCTGTAGCTCTGGTAGTGTCACTTTTTGCCTTGAGGAAATAGACCCAGGTCATGCCACTGTAGTCGTCTGTGAAGGCTAGGGTGTACCTATACCCATCCCTATCCGTAGGCTCCAAAGGACCACATAGGTCAGTATGCACCAGTTGTAATATTTGTTTAGCTCTGCTATCAGCCTGTCTATTTCTCTTATCTACGAACTTCCCTTCCATACAGACTTCACAGCTGAAGGCAGATTTAATACATTTCCCCTTGATTTTCATCCCTTCAACCACACTCTCCAATCTGGAAACATCCTCAAAGTTACAGTGTCCAAGTATTCTGTGCCACGTCTGTATATCGTGACACCTCTTAAACTTGTCAATGTCTGCATCAATAATTGTGGGTAGATAATACAGTTTACTGTGGGTCTCAATGTTAAATCTGGTGCCATCCGTAACACCCATCCAGTTATCACCCTCTCTGAAATGCAATTCCGCCCCGTGGCCTGTGGCTGCCTTTACTGAGAAAATGTCTTGTGGAAAAGTAGGTATATACAGGGCTTTCTTCAGTAGTGCTGTCACTTTATGTCCATGGCTATCTACCAGAGAGACCTCCGCATCCCCCCTGGCGCCTGCCACTCCGGTGATCTTGGTACCGTCAGCTAGTTCAATCACATGGTTTACAGGCTTAAAGTCTTTATCAATGTTCTTAAACTTCTTAAAGTCATTTATCATATGCGATGTAGCACCACAATCGACTAGTAAACCTTTAACATCGACTGCCCCCTTTGAACTCCTGTTGTCACTCAATTTAAAACAATACGACCTGTGGTCTTCATAGTAGTCCTCGTCTCCATCATCTGCTGCTTCTCTGTAGGCGCTCCAGGGGCAGGGTCCTTCTTGGTCCCTGGCGCTCCTGTCGGGTCGAGCCCAGCGCTCCCAGCGGTCTGTGGCTCCTCGTTGCTGCTCTTCCCCCGTCGCTGCTGCCATGGAGTCCCGCTGTCCCCCTCGGCGTGGCGCGTCGCTCCTGCGGTCCCGTCGCCTCTCCTCATACGCGCTGGGACAATTCCTTGCCACATGTCCCATTTTACGGCATCTGTAGCACTCGACCTCGGCCGAATCCTTCCTCCGCTCTCTGCCTCGTCCTTGTGGCCCGTAGGTGGCTGCCCCCGCTGCTCTCATCACATTGTCTTCTGTGATATCGCTTGGCTTGTATCGTTCAGTGTCCTCAAAATCTCTCAGCCTTGTCTTAAAGTCACTGAACGTTAGGGCTTCGCTCATCTGTGTAATGTTTACCACAAACGGCTAAAATGAGTTGGGCAGACCTTTCACCACCATTTCCTTTGCCTGCATAATGATGGCGAAGTATCTTCAACGCCTTGCGCCCGTCTCCGTCCGCCTCTCTCATAATCAGCGACAGACTTTTATTGTCCAAAACCTGGACCAACTCCGCATACGCCTGTCCATTCCTCCCAGCGTCTGCAACTCGTGCATCCTCAACGCCCTCAGCTGCCCCATCGAACACCGGCTCAGTCTTCAGTGTCCCGGCAAGCCCACGCAACTCCAAATGCGCGAGGAATCTCGTCTCCCAAAGTTCGTAGTTCCTCTCATCACCATCGAACAGCAGCCGGCTGAAATGTTGGCCAGACAGCATGCTGGGCCCATAACCTGTTGTGTTTTCCATCAATAGACGCGAGCAGCCAGCTTTCCAGTTGAGGAAACAATCAATTTATTAAAACAAAACAGGTGCAATTTATAGAGCTACTTGACGTCAGTAGGGGTCCTCACAGGACCCACATTGCCTGCTAATAAATGAACCATAATAAATGAGGCTGCATTTCACATCACGCTCCACTCCACTCCAGAGTGGAGTGGAGTCCTGAGGCGTTCCAATGTGAGAGACACAGACCCTCTGGACTTTTGGATTTATTTGAGATGAAGTTTGCAGAGTACAGAAGTGTAAACCTGTGTGTCCTGGGCTCAGGTAAAGGTTTGGGTCACAGTTAGTTGCTGCTGTTTGTAAAAGTGTTTTGGGCCAAATTTCAAAAAGATGAAACGAGCCAAAAGAATGTTTATTTGTATAAAAGATGTGTATATTTTTGTTTGAGTTCCTGTTTATCAGAATAAAAGTGTTGCATATTGTGAAGTGTCCTCTCTCTCTGAACGATGACATCTAGTGGTGACAAAGAGTAGATGCATTAAAGCATTAAAGCTGGGGTACCTGACCCAGGACAGCTCACATACATGTCCAGAAAGACTTGGTCCAGACTCTGATGGTCACAGCCTGAGGACGATGTCCAAAAGCTTCCTGATCTTGAAGGACTGCCCATCAGCGCCCCCTGGAGGCCTAAACTGGACCTGGCAGCCGTCTGTTGCCCCTACAGCTCATGAGAAGGCCTAGTGCCTCGTCATCCTCTTCCATCCATCCACCTGGAAGGAGTGCTTGAAGATTAGGTGACGATAGATACATAGATGGACCTGTAAAAACACCAGCAGGCAAATATAAAAAGTGTGAAATTACTTTTTAACTTAACTTAGCTTTCACTACAGAGTTAGGACTTAGACGCATCATGGAGGAATGCTTGATTTCTTGATGATTTGCTAAAGTCGTTCAACAAACACACAACATTTTGCACACATCACAGATTCCATTGACGTGGTGTTGGTCACATGATCGGGAAGGTTACAGCAGTAGTCACCTGTTCTGAACAATGTTGGAGAATGGAGACCTTTGGACTGTCGTGCATGGGTCATGAAGGACCTGTGAAGGGCAGGAAAATGGCCTCTATTTCAAAAGTCCAGATGAGATGGTTGTTTCTGAAGCTTTTCTCACATGGGCATTGAACACATGAGGAATCACACCAACGATAGTCCCACTTTTGCTGCTCCCTCCTGTTTGGAAGTTTGAGTTCTTTCAAAATGGAGAGAAAGGCAGAAACGTGAGGATCTACTTTCACCTGTGGAGAGTTCATCGCCTGTTGGTCACATGACATTGGGTTAAAGTTAGTTCCAACGTGTTCCAGGGCTTTTATTTTGGCGATGATGGGGGAGCTACTGTTTTTAGGGGTCTGGGAAACCTGATTATTTAGGTACCCCAGCTTTAATAGACACAACATGCAAATCAACATGTCTTTGGCCCCGCCCCCTTTGCGCCCCTGATCCACACTTCGCCGTAGCCTGCATCTATGCGCACTCTGGCGAAGGATATTGCCCATAATTCTTTGCGGTACACACCAAAACGTTGGGAAATGCATTTAAATATAAATTTTGAAATATATATGCAGTATGTGTGTAAATAAGTTTTGCCTTTACTTGGAAAGAAGCATAAACGTCTGATGAAGAATTACGGACATTGTGTTTTAACAATTTAATAGATTTTAAAGCAAGCGTTTATATAACATTCAATTTAAACTTTACACTTAGTACAATAATCTTAGAATGTATAAAAACTGACCAGATAACAGTTAGTTACCCAAATTTAACTTAAAATTATACAGCTATCTCTTATTAAAAACAACTAATATACATGTATTTTAACGTGTATGAAGCAATTAATTTTGTTTCCCAAAGGGTCAGACAAAATTACATTTAATGTTTATAAAGTTTAGGTCTGAAAATGACCATCTCTGACGAGTCGATGACGTAACCTGCACTCAGTGTGTACTGTCCCAATTCTGCCTTTTGTGCACGCTTGTAACCTGCGCACTCCAACCCTGGTGTGCACTTCCAACAAATGCACACTTCATAGGAGGGCGTAGGGTGGAAGTGCGAGTATTGGGACGGGGCCATTGTCTTTAAGGTAAAAGTGTTGCAGCTCCTCCTGTTCGGCCCCTCCCCTTCTGGACCCTTCCTGGGACACCTCGTTACCTGCACCTGTGGAGCTGCACACCTGCACCAATCAACAATCATCTCAACATTCAAAAGCCATGCAGACCGGCTCTCCAGTGCCAGATTGTTCCGTCACGAGAAGTGGTGCTACTCTTAGCCTTTTTGACTACTTGTTACTTACCTGATCCTGTATTTACCCGTGTTTTTGTTTTTCTCCGTTTTCTCCAGTATCCTTGGTGTGTCCAGCTCCAGTTCACCTTCATCCTCCACCTGCCATAGCCCGGTCTACCTCTCCATCCGCCTCCCAGGAACCCCCCTCTACTTCTGTTTAATAAATACTAGTGATGGGTAAATGAAACCTCACGTATCGTTTCGGCACATCCAACGAACTGTATTGATACTGTGCCGCAACAGTTGTCGCGTGGTGGAAATGCAGGAAGGACCCAAAATGCAGGAATGCCAAAAATTATTATTTAATGATAATAAAATAAAAGTCCAGGTAAAACTCAAAATCCAAAGGCTCAAAAAGAATCAAGGAAACCGGAACAGACAAGGACAAGACGAAGGTTGACAATACAATGGACTAGCAACAAGGGGAGAGAAGCACAGGGTACATATAGACACAGGTGAAACACATCAGGGCGGGGCAGACAATCAAGACAGGGGCAAACAGGACAGGAAGTACAACTAAAACCAGACCACAGAGAACAATGTCAAAATAAAACTAAAATACAAAAATAAAACCCACACCATGACAGTACCCCCCCTCCAAGGGACAGCTCCCAGATGTCCCAAAAACCCAAACACAAACCAGGGAGGGTGGAGGGGGCACGGCGGAGGGACCAAAGGCAGTTCAGAGGCTGAAAACCTCATGTCCGAAGCAATGTCCAAACCAATCTGGGACCGGAGCTGAAGCCCAGTGATTACCTTCCATACGGAACTGGCTCACCCCGGGCGGAGACAAATGCCCAGCGGTGACACAGACGGGAACAAAACCACCCCAGACGGAGAACAATGTCTGGCGGTGGAAACAGGTAAAGGGAAGGAGAGGTCATCAAAGGGGAGCAGGCAGACACAGGTGGGGAATCCAGGCAGACGGGAACATCCAGACGAGAGCTTCACTGTTGACCCCACAACAAGCCAAGGGGAAGGGAACAGAAGACCACCCCGGACGGACGATAATGCCCGGCGGTGGTGCAGGACAAATAACCACCCCAGGCGGAGTTCCTTGCCTGGCGGTGGTTTAAGGTAGCAGGTTGAGAGGTAGCAGTGAAGGTAAGGATATCCGCAAAAAATAAATAAAAACCTGATGACAAACAGGGAGCCGGTGTGGTGAAAAAATAAAAAAGGCATTCCGCTGAGTCCGTGTGATGGCTAGTCCATTCTGTCACGTGGTGGAAATGCAGGAAGGACCCAAAATGCAGGAATGCCAAAAATTATTATTTAATGATAATAAAATAAAAGTCCAGGTAAAACTCAAAATCCAAAGGCTCAAAAAGAATCAAGGAAACCGGAACAGACAAGGACAAGACGAAGGTTGACAATACAATGGACTAGCAACAAGGGGAGAGAAGCACAGGGTACATATAGACACAGGTGAAACACATCAGGGCGGGGCAGACAATCAAGACAGGGGCAAACAGGACAGGAAGTACAACTAAAACCAGACCACAGAGAACAATGTCAAAATAAAACTAAAATACAAAAATAAAACCCACACCATGACAACAGTGTTGCTTGTGCTGCTCTATACTGACGCCTGGTGGATCTGATAAATCATTACATCCAACTCACTGATTCAATGAGCTTTACATACTTGTCTGTACACAATATTACGTAACTGCATTGTGTTGTATATTTTAACTATGCAGATGTGAATATTGGCTGACCCTGATTTGAACTGTCTTTTCCTAAAGCAAAAAGACCTGGTCTCCCCATGTTCCTTTGTTAGTCCAAAGTGCATGGGTGAGTTAATGATAGGTAATCTGGGGGGATTCTGCTAAATCCTTCCAGTTGTTTGAAGAAGGAGGGGGACCCAGACAGCCTTCTGCCTTATCTCAAGGAAGTAATAAATCTATAGATTGGGGTAGTGTGTGTGAATGATCCTGTTTAAGGTCCGGCGAGACAGAGGGGACATGATGGAAGAGGCCGGACCCAAGACCTGCCTGATACGACACGCCCCCTGCTTCCTGAACATCGACTGATAATGCTCTGGCTTGAGGAGAGACAGGAGAATGAGCCGAGGGCGAGCCAGGGACATCGTTAGGATAGGAGCCCTCTGTTGAATTTCTGTATCTGATTGTAAAGATAAAATAAATACAGATGTTAAACTTGAAGATCTTTGCCTTACTTCT